GAAATATTTTTCTCAAGTTGAATTAAACAATTTTTGTGGGGCACTATGTCATGCAATATTTCTCAGAGGCGTCACATGAATTTATCATCGAATGCAAATTACGTGATAAGGAATGCATATTCTTATGACTAATGGATTGGACACAAAATACTGTTGGGCAATGTATTCATGATTGGACCACTTCACGGATTTCTATGAAATCGAAGTCAAAATAGCGACATTTTTATTGGCTGCGTCTTACCCGAAAACCATAAAAAATCGATTCTCAAAGTAGTCGAATGTTTTTTTGAGTGCAAGCCAAACGATTCTAAAATGAAAGTATGAAAAATGGTAATTCAACGTTGTTCATTTTAACAAATTGGCTCTTGCAAAGGTAAAAGTCATCATTGAAGTTGTTTTAGGGTGTTTTTTGTATTTTATTGACATTTGTGATGATATCTAAATAAATTGTCAACATTTTACTTCAAATATTGTGACTTCTGTCATAATATTCCGACTTTTTTGAAGAAATTTACGGAGTGGACCAATCATGACTACAAATATTCAGATGGCCAAAAATCAACACTTTGTAAAATTGGCCAACAAAAAATTTCTTGAAGAGATAACAAAATTCAGAAACTTTTAGTTGGTGTCAATATCTATTCAACGGTATAAATAACTCCGCAGAAGTTTCAACCAAAAATTGTGTGGCCAAAAATTGCTTAGGAGAGACTTCATTGCCCTATTAGAATCGAAAAAAAATTAATTTTTCTTTTGATTTTCGCCTTTGTTGGACTGTCGAATGGGAAGTTTGTATGAAAGCTCCGGAGTGCCGCTGGAATTGCATTGGTTTATATGGTAACACTTTCGAGCAGAATTCGTCGAATATAATGTGACCATTGCCCTCAAATCCATATGAATGAAAACCGATGGCTTCCCATTGAGCCATCATTCCACCAGCTCCAAAATTCCCATTCTCTCGAACGTCGAAACCTCATGCTATCTCACTCACATAATCAAAATCAATCTCACTATATAAAACGCACGGAAACATCATATGCGAGGATACAGTGGACAGTTGGACACTTCTTATAAGCGTCCAGCAATTACTTTAGGTATTCGCTTACTATTGTAAATTAATTCTTACTGATTTCAGTGGATAACATAAAGAAGATCATGTTCCAAATGTAATTCACCGTTAATGTGCACATTCGAGCGAATAAAATAAAGGATTTTCGTACTGAATCAAATTTATCTCTTTTTGGAATCAACTGTGGACCATTTCAATCTTCATTTGAATTGGAATAAGAAACGGTTTTCCTGGTGCTGAAAATGACGTAGTCAATGCAATGATTTCTATCTGCAGAACTCACTCAATTCATACATAATTTGTATAATCATGTTAACTGACCAACAAACCCCACAACGTTATCATAATCGCATTCGATGTCAAGATGTGTACAAATTGCTTGATGTGCGATTTAGTCAGATCCAAACGGATTTTGTTCAAGGGAAGAACTTGCTGGAATTTGACAATAGGTGGTATTAGTGTGCACCACAAGTATTTGCGCCACAAAAAGCTTTCGTTTTTCGGTGCAATCGAACTGAAGTTCAAATCACATTGAATTTGACGGAATAGACATTTTTCGAAAACGTCCAATGACACTTTGCTTTGAAGAACGAAAACATGGAGCTTTGCTCTCATACTTTTGTATTCTATTTATTTATTTATTTATTACGAAGCCTACATTTATGCCAATATGTGCTCACAGCGAGCTGTGAACATGCTGATCAGATGCCCAATACGGTATAAATTCCTCCCATGGTGCGTCTCAAGCAAAGAGACAATTAAATTACAAGGGGGGATGACATTCATGAAATGACTTTAAATACCAGCGATTTGGTCCGGAAAACCATGGCAAAACCGATCTAGATCTTGTTGAGCGATAATTTCATGCGGTAGAAAACCACCGTATCGATAATTGATATACAGAATCAAAATAAAATCCAAAATTCAGTTTGATGAAGGAAAAAATCTTGGAACTGGCAGTATCTTAGCAGATGAATATTCAAATCTTGGCAAATTTGCCGAAATGTCTTCGGGTAGGGCGATTTAAATTGTAGATTTTATGTAGTTTAATGTAGTGTATTTACTTTTTTTATGTTGGAGCGGTTTTTCGATAGCCGATTACTCAAAAAAATTGTTCCTACATAAAAAAAGTAAATACACTACATTAAACTACATAAAATCTACAATTGAAATCGCCCTACCCGAAGACATTTCGGCAAATTCGCCAAGATTTGAATATTCATCTATCTTAGCTTCATCAGAGAAAAAGCGACTGCTAAAGCTTAAAAATGTGCTTAACAATTTTGAGATATTGTTCTACAAAATGTTTTCATGGGTTTTGGGATCGTGGAAATGTGATGAGAAAAAATCAGCTGAAAAACTATAAATCGGTGTTACCGAATTGTGTAAAATACCATGGAAATTACTATTTAAGGCATCAGAAGCCACTACGTTGAAGCAGATTGGAAACAGAAATTTTCTACTTTTTCAATCAAAATTTCTATATTTGCACTGAAATTGAGCCTAGAATTTGTTTGAAAATACATTCAAAATATTTCAAAGGTGTGCAAAATCGAAAGAGTCCATTTCAATCGCTTCGATTTTAAAACATTTCTCCATCGATATTTGGGAAGAAAGATGTGATGAGTACAAAGTTTTTGCTTTTATCTCGATTCCATTGCATACTAAGTGCATTCAAAATTGTTCAACGAGCTCTCACCCGCAATCGTTCATTTCGAACAATTTGACGGTAATCTAATTATTCGTGCAATTTGGCTTTCTAATGTGCCAAAAGCCAAACGAATGGTTACAGTTTCCCAAAGGCATTCGAAACTTGTTTCTAACTAACTTTTTGCATCCTCATTGATTCACGTACGGTGTGAAGCAGACAATTGAATTTTCGACAGTCAAATTCAAAGCGGAAAAAGACGTATTTTGAACATGAAGAGAAGATTTAAAGATCGATATGAAAAAGCGAATATTTTTCGAATATTGGAAATTGTTCGCCTTAAATTTGACTCCATTCGAAGACGAGAAAAAATTTCCATTATCCATTTGAATCGCTGAATTTGTTTTGAGTCATGATTTGTTGTGCACGCGATTAATCTGTGCCATGAGAGAAAAAAAAAAAAGGTTAATTTCAGTGTGAAACATGGATTCGATATGAAGCAGTCAATCTTTCGTTATTAATGTCATTATGTTTTCACTCTCTTATTGCGTTACACTTAAATCTTTTGCACAGTCAGCACAGCGAGCGTACCGCGCGCGCTTTCGTATTACGCCCGCATACAATGTCTGACTTCACATTCAGTCGGATTATCATCCATGTTTCTCGTGGCTTAGCCACTTTAAATAGATGCGCCCGATTTTATGAGTAATGATCAAAATTGATTTGCCGCTGTGTCTCTTGCCACTTGTCCTACTGTCTCTTTGCATCTGCCTCTTGATGTCTCTATTCTCTCTCTTGTGTATTTCTCTCTCGCTGCCTCTGCTCACGTCTCCCTCGCTCTCGCTCTTCTTCTTCGCTCGCTTTATTGTGTAATGTATGCGTTGTGATGACAATGCAAACAATTGAACGAATGGAATGTTCTCCAACTATTCTATCTATAATGGAAAGTGAAATAATCGCAACTGGGCTCGGGTATCGATGAACCCGCTTAGACACACACTGCAGTTTGCCAAATTATAACATGAGCGTGATTCGGCCGTTTCGACTCTTTCGATGAATAGTCACGGAAGAGTGTCAAAAATGTGCATGATAGCTTCTTTTTTTTCGGCAGAAGCCAAACGCGAACTCCCTAGAGTGCGCGTGCGACCGAATGAGCGAGACTCCGAGAATCAATCTTTATTGGTCTTTATTGAGCGATTTTACAGCAAGACATTCAGTCTCACGCGCGCACACTTGCGCTCGCTTCTATCAACAAATTTACTTTTATTCAATCATTGGCTTATACGAAGAGAGGAATTGTTTTGAACTCAATTCAGGAAATTGCAGTTAGAATCAACTAAATGCGTTTAAATAGGTTTCGTTTAAGTTTACGTTTTGTGTGTTGGCCATTTAATTTTTCCAATTTTGCAATTTCCGAAAAAAAAAATTCCATTCCGAACATGATGGAGACGAAATCATGTTCGGGCAGCTTCTCGTAGTCTTTGGAACGAAATGATGGCAATCGAACGAATTGTGATTTTTCAATTGATTTCAATATGCATTTCATGACTTGAAGGAAGCTTCAAGCTCTGAATGTTGAATGTCTCCAAAATGCATTTGTTCGAAGGCTTTTTTTTTCAATCGGTTTTTTGAAATTTCATCGAATCTCAGTTCATTTTTCGCCTTTTAATTCTTGTCAATCAGCCAAAATCGAAGCCAAAATGAATCGAAATTTTTTTTTTGGTGGATTTTATTCTCGATCGACTTTTTTCTTCGGAAAATCTAAGTTTTCCATGAATATTTCTATTCAATTTCTCGCATTCCTTCCCAACAAACCGAAAAAGGCATGAAAAAAATCTCCTACTGCAAAAAGTGGTCGAGCGAAACAAAAGCGAAACTTCTCGCATCTCACCAATTTTTCTATGCATTGATAAGCTACGGGTGCATTTGGATTGGTTAGTAAGTCGCGAGAAAACAAAGCATTTATCATTCAAATCGGGTTAAATGTGCCAAACAACAACAATACATTCCCGTCAATCAGTGGCGTTGATCTAACGAGACGCAATTCATGTGTCTCTTTTTCTCTCTTGCGTCTCGGTCGTCTTTCGTCGCTTGATTCATGGAAAAAAAGAAGAAGAAAACGGTGAATAAAATGAACTGGGACCGCTATTTGCATCTCGGTCACACTCGCATTCGCAACGCTCGGGATCATACGTGCCATGATGGGCATAACATCTACAATGACACGATTAGAGCTTATAATATCTTGTATCGTCTGGTTTGATCATCATCGTCGTCGTCGTCGTGATTCAAAATCACCACAATTCAAACTCGGCCGTTTATTTATTTCTTTCGATTCAAATCGTTCGAATGTGTTTAGTTCATCGCTCATCATCGTCATCGGGTTTTTTTCGTTCATCAGCTTATCGTTCTTGAGCTTTTTTTTTCCCTCCGATCACGACGACCGAACCAAAAAATTAATTCAAACAAAATTTAATTGTGCTTCATTTGCTAAATGAATAATTTTCAATAATAATTGAAATTGCTTTCGGATTTTACGAGTTTTGAGACGGTAAAACGAAAAAGAAATCACAAAGAGAAAGAAAAAAGACGCGACGAGAAAAAGAGAAAAGAGTGTAAAAATTAATTATACACAAATCCTGCAGAAAGAAAAAGTGAACAGCAAAACAAAAGGTGAAGAGGTTTAAAAGGCAGTGGCCATGGCAACATATAAATTTTACCTGATTTCACTGAGTCTAACGTGGTTAGTGTGCATTTCAAACGCTGAACATGTTCAACATGCACCTTGTGAATCGAATCCAGGTACCGTACTTTTCTGACGTTTCTTCTCTCTGTTTTCAATGCAATTTTCCAATTTTTTTCTCCCTCTTTACCAACATCCAATTTCCATAATGCATCTCGAAAGAGAGACGTTTTTTTTTCCTTACCATTCACTTGCAACATATATTTCAAATGCTCAACAACAACGACGACGACGAAAAAATGAAAATCCATTCAATGTATCTGCGAAGTTTTTGTCGGTTAAATCCAGTTTTTTTGCAGTGGCGCAACTTGTTATTTTCGCAAGCGAAACATTTGGCTTTTGGATTCGTTTTTTTTCTTTGCATTTGGCGATAGTTCAGAATTCAACCCGAATTCAATACGATAAGACATAGATACGCTCTAAATAACTTTTGCAGTTCTTGTACCATTTTTTTCTCGAGGAATTTTTCCATTTTTTCAGCTCTTTTTTTCATTTTTGTATCGTTTTAGCCTTTTTTCCACTTTTAGGGAAAAAAGACGATAATTTCGTCGGTTTTTATTTTCATTTCTACATTCTTTCATCATTGGGAATTCATTCTTCTCTTTTCCATGCTTATATCGTTATTTTTTCCGCTTCTTTTTTCCTTTTTCTTTTTTTTCATGTCGATTTTTATGTGTCGAGGACTTACCATTTTTACGATTTTTTTTTAGATTCACCAACAAAAGTTTTGATTCAAAACTAACAACATGAGTCATTCATACATAGTTCCTAGCTTCAGATTCATATCATCCGAAATCACGTCATGACTTTTAATATCAAATAGTTAATAATCTAAATTTCATCCTCTCGTGATGTCATGAGAGTCATTCGAATCATGTGATTTGTTTCGGTTTGTTCATATTCCATCAGTTAATTTTCATCAGAATGAGTTAGTTTCAGCTCTGTCCCATTCAGTTGACGGTTTGCAAGCATTATACACACTTTGTTGGATAAACATTTTGATGTATCTCGATATTGGGAGTTAAACTTTGGCTCACCGAGTGTGCGCGTGACACGCGCCGCGTGTGCTCATTTGCCAATCTATCCGTAGATAAATAAAGTTTGTCGATTTTCACATTCCCGCTTACAAGTTGTAACTTAAATTCTCAACTAAAAACCGATTCGGTTTTGGTTTTATTTCCCAAAATCATGGTTGCAAACGGCGTTTACCATACGCCTAGAAGTTATTATTATGACCTATTTTGAATTCGCATGAATTGTGTGCCGAAGCGCACAATTCATTGCCTGAATGAAAGAGCATAAAATTCTGAGAGCTGGTTTCGACTGAGCTTGCGGTCGTGCATCAAAACGGAAATGATGATACATATTTACAAGTTGATAGTTGTCTGCAACAAACAATAAATAGCCCCATGATAATCGTAATCATGATTTTAACACCAATAATACCCAGTACAATGTTTCAATCTGTGCATCGTTCGTTCGTTCGGTGGCTCAGTCGGTCGCGCGATATTAATTAGTCAATTCTCTCTCTCTCTTTCCCACTCTCTTCTAGGAGACTGTACGGTGCATGAGGTGAGGGTCGTGCCGTGTCCCGAATCAGAGGAGCACAAACCATGCAAAGTGAAACGTGGCAAAACGGCAACCATTTCATTTGATTTCACAACGCGTAAGTAACAACTTCGAAAAAATGATTTTTTTTTCCTCTGCTCCGATTCTTTTTATCCTTGCTCACGCTTTTTGTATTCGGTGGCTCATTCTCCCAGCCTCTGCCTCTCTCTCGCTCTATCCACCTTTGTCTCTGTCTCTCATTCACGCTCATTCTCCCTTTCTCAATTGAACTGGTGTTGAGTACCTTTAGCAAACTCGATAACAAATTTGGAAAAAAACGAAAGAGAGAGAGAGAGAGAGAGAGAGAGAGAGAGAGAGAGAGAAAAATTTGAACAAATAAAATCGAAGCATAAAGAGCGAAAGTGGTAGGTGAGGTGAGCATGGACATAGGTAGAAAGAGTGGGAATGAGCCGTCAAATACAATTGAATTTATATGCAGACGGTATGTCAAACTACAGTTTTCGATAAAACTATTGAAATTATGTACCATATGTGTGTGTTAGTGTGTATGCCAGCCGTTGGCTGGATGCTGTATGCATTACCATTTCGGCTACCATTCAGCTGAGCCAAAATGCAATTCCAGCCATTGTTTGGTCGCACAAATTGCACATGGTCGTGTTTCGTGCGTTTTGAATCCCATCATTGAAATTGAATTTCACATGTTTTGCATGTCATTATGTCGGGTGTGGGTGGGGTGACGATTGATGGGGCGAATGGTGGTGATATGCTCTGGTGACAATGTATTTGTTCGGGACTGGATAGAATGGGAAGCAACGACCGCACATGGTGAATTGTTTTCGGCGGATGATGAAGAGGACCTACCATTGAATGGAATGAATATGCATAACGCATGCCAATTCACCTCGTGTCCAATTCGAGCATCAACCAAACAATCCTACACCTATACACTTCCCTTGGCGAAAAAATTCCCAGTGGTATGTAGCTCTTTTTATCTTTCTCTTTCACTCTCTTGCTTTTTTCCCTCGTATCGGAATGTGTACATACGGTGAATTTCCAATGCATTGAAATACAATAATTTCATACCTTTGCAATGGGAAAAACCAATAACATATTTCGAAACAAGATAAAAAAAACGAGAGGAAAGTTTGAATTTGGAAAATTTGGAAATTGTGAAAATGTATGGATTAAACTGTCGATTTGTTTTTCCCACACACACACACACACGCACATGCACGCACACAGGGCACGTATACGATTCGATGGGTCCTACGCAATGCAGCCAAACCTGAAGAAACCAACGAACGATGCTGTTTCACTACCAAAATCAAGCTCACCAAATGAAACCGCACACAACACATTCAAACACACACATGAAACACAACACATAACACACTCTCATACTCCGTTTAATAGCATGGAACACACACACACGCACCGCACTCAATAATTGTTCTACGCATTTGTTGTTGCTGATGATGTCGTTGGGTTCAAATGTTTATATAATTTATTTTTTTAGTGACAATACAAAAGTGAGACAAGATCCTATAAAAACAAACCAAAAAAAAAACATGCTCCACATTTTATGAACTATTGTACATTTCGAGAGAGCACCGAAATAAATATAAAATATATACGTGTTTTCTTTTTTTTTGAAACCATATATTTTTTTTCTATTAGCCTAAAATATACTCTAAAATTGTTAAATTTTGTGTTTGTTTATTCGCTTGCGGCGCTTGATTTTTCTCCTAGACTATTTTATATAAGTGCTTTTTAGTAAGATCTAACAAATAAAAAAAAAAACGAATATGATGATGAAGAAGAAATGATGTCAGCCGTGGTTTCACGTACCAATCGGGTGCATCATTTCGTGAAAAATTTGCAAAATTATTTTCTGTGTCTGAAAACTATGAGTTAGGAGAGAAGAAAATGAATTGCATTAAAAAGTGTCGACGTTGGCGGCGGTGGTGATAGTGGCGTTTTTTCGAACTTGACGCTCGGTAAGTTGAAATACGCGCTGATGCTGTGGGCTTTCGATTTTTATAATCTTTCTGTTGCTTTAAGTGTTTCTATTCCGCTGTTACTGCTGCTTCTGATACTGATATCATTGCTGCTTCAGATACGTATCAGCAGTATATTGCCGTTGCATCACTTTGCCGGACGTTTGCATCTCAATAATGATGATGCAATACGCGCGCCCATACACAGCCACTGAATTATAATGCATACAAATTATATTACTGCAAAAACTCCACTGAACTCGATCATTTTTTTTTTGCTTCTCTTTAAATAATGTGTCTTATTTTGCATCTTCTCTCTTGAATACTCGCTCCTATTTAGCTTAAGTGAATTTCAAATTGCGTACGTACATTTATGTAGAAGAAAAAAAATGGAAATTGAAATAACGTCAATGTATCTCTATCTCTCTCTCTCTCTCTCTCTCGCTCTATTTCTTTCTCACTCTCACTTTCTAGCATCGAATCGCTTAAACGTATAACAAATATGAACAATTTACAAATGCATTTAGTCTTTGCATAGTCGACTATGTATACTAAAAATTGATTAAGTCAAACAATACATAACGTTGTATCTTTGCATAATGAAATTTGTGCTTCCTGCAAAATGCGCAAACGAGGGCCTAGCGGTATGCCCATCTTTTGTAAACGCTCTTCACCCAAGTACGGCAATTCAATCATTCCCACTCGCTCCGCTTCAAATAGATTCGCATATTTCTGTTGTTTTGTGTGCCAGTTGAGTGTAAGTGTGTAGCGAGTGTGTGGTGTTCGGACAGCATGAGAGGAGAGGGAGAGGGAGAGAAAAAGAGAAAAATGAAATTGGTTATTCGGTTCGTTAATTTATTTCGAGAAAGAGAGTGAAAATCGCATTTTGTCGCAATGCTTTTACCTCATAGCCTAAACTTCGCAGAAACAGTCTCATTAGCGGTGGATCTTCGCCAAAGAATTTTTGCAATTTTTTCACTCGCTTTGGATTTGTGAGATTTGGCGGCTCCGGTTCGATGGTATTGTTGACAGCCGCAGTAGCCGACGTCGTACTACGATGCATATTCTGCGTACGAGCTGCTTGAGCTCGACTATTTTGGATGAAAATCAAACAGACGAATTAAGAAAAGGAAGTTTTTAACGAGTATTAATACTATTCATTTCAAATTGACATGTTTTTTTTTTGCAGTGAAAAGCATTTCTAATGAAAAGTTCAAATTTCCATTGATGCTCAATTTTTTGTGTATGAAAGTTTTTTGTTTTTTTTTTTTGTATGAAATTTTCTTCTCCTTTTTCATTCAAATTAAATACTTTTCCATAATGGACACATGTTTAGTTCTCTTTTCAATATCAATATTCATAACATGAAATGAATTGCATTGTATTCTATTGAATTTACCTCAATGTAGTGAATTCATCACGAAGTTTTTCCAATTCTTGCGTCACCAAGTGCTGCGACCGCATTTCGGATGACAAATGCGCCACACTACGAGCCAATGTCACCACATGTGATTCAAGTCTTTGGAATCGCTTATTTATTCCCTGTGGATTTAAATGGAACATTGTTTAAATAACAATTCGAAGAACGCCACAGACTGTGGTGTACTGTGGTCTACATTAGAAAAAAAGTGAGTACAAACTAGATTGGAATATGAATAGAAAGCTCAAAAGTTTACATTCAAATGAAAATCTCCAGAGATTTTCAGAGTTTTTTTTTCCTCTTTTTTTGGGTCAACTTCGAAAATTGTCATATTCCAATATACTTCGAATACATTGCGTGTACATTAGGAAAGATTATTAACATTATTCAAAGTAATGTAATCAATTTTAATCCAAAAACAATGCTTTCAACTGAATTCAGTTCGAAGTTGAACTTTCTCAGAATTTTTTCTTCATCAAATTTTTTTTAAATTCAAAATTCGATTTTTTTCAATTAAAAAAAAAATGTCTTGAAATTTTTTTTTCCTTCTTAGGTCTTTTACTTTCATTTCCATTTTTCTCGATGTTTCTAATCCTTTCTCTTAATTTTTTCTTATGTTTTTTCCATGTTCTCACCTTAACATCTTTAATTTTGCGTCGTTCATCAATACGTCGACGATCTCGAATGGGTCGGCCGCTGATTGAGCTGGATGGAAGTGATGACAGGCTGCCATGACGACGTCGAATGCCAATACCTCGCGTTCGCAACGATTCTTGTAAACGGCCCGGGAAATTATTTCTGGTGCCAAGCATTTTTAGTACTTCGCCATACCTTTTGGAAAGAGAAATTTTGTTATTTTCATTATTATTGGAGCCTCCAAAAATTGTTAAAATTGCTATTTTAAGCGTCTCAAAAATACTTCTGGTAACCAATTTTATAATTTTTGGAGGTTCCAATTATTATTATTGTTTGGAAGTGATTGAAATAAAATAAGAGTATTGAATTGATCAGCGGTTTGAATGGTCATTTTTTTTCGTTTAGTCAACTTAAATTATTCAAACAATTAATGAGAAACCCTATCAATTCAAAGCATTTTGTTCGCATTTCATTGGCTATTCAGTGTAAGACAAAGAACATTATTTTCTTACAACATTTTTGCGCGTCCAAAGCTTTAAGTGCATCAATGAAATAATCAATTTAAACAATTAAAAGCTGAAAAATAAGGCAATTAGCTTGTGGTTTTGAACAAACGTACATATGCTCCAATCCTTCGAGCTGTGATCGAATGTGGCGAATTCCTTGTGTATCGGTTTCGGAGTCACTAACTGATTGCGCTGTTCCCCAGGCACCACCCAGCAACGATTCCAAATCAAGCGAACGTGTTGTATTTGACGTTAGATCATTGTCCAAACCAAACACTAATTTAAAAGAAAAAAAATGGATTTATCAATTTAAAGATTTTGCCTAGGGGCTTCTATGTCGGTTTGGCATTCGAATTTTTATTCACAAATTCGCGCTCAGTGCCATGCATTCGCACTCGCATTCGTATAGCAGTCGTATTTCGCTGTTCTCGAACGTTCTCACGAATGTGAGTGCGAATATTTATATAGAAATCATACGGCAGCGTTGCGAATGCATGCATAAACACGAATGAACGAATGAATTATGTAGTCACAAGTTCGCTGTCATAGTCGCATTCGTCGCATTCGCAAACATTCGAATTTTTGTTCTGTAATGCGAATGCATTCGCAGCATTCGCGAGAGATAAATCCCCTTAGGATTTTGCATTAGGCAATCAATTGAATGAGGCATTTAAGATATTTTAGTCAACAAGAGCGATAAAATTGGGCAATTTGTTCACAATTTCAAAGATCAACCTCAAAGTCTGAGAGTTTGCTTTGAATTTTTCGAATGAAATACTGCCGTTGACATTCAACTTACAGTGTCGTTTTAAGACAGCTTGTTCATGCTTTTTCCCTGAGAACTTTTGCGATGGTTTTCCATGTGAGCCGCCTGAAAGGGGGGGGGAACAAAATACAATTTCATTTAGAAATGATTTGGAAAATGTTTGCCAAAAGAGTCAAATGCTCTTGGTTTGGAATAAAGTCAAAGGCATGCCTCAATTTTAAAATAAAATATTCTCCAGTGAATTACCTTGTTTATGAATCGCCGAACCGGGCCATCCGGCTCTGGATGGGCCAATAGCGGATGCACCGCGTCCAGGTCGATTGTAGCTATCGGTGCCGTATTCCTGTTTCGGATTCTCCTTAGCATTGCTGGGAATTTTGTACGAACTATTATCAGGTGACAATGGTGGTAATGGAGGTGACATTGATGATACACTGCCCGACACGGTGCTTTCGGGCCGAAGTGACAGTGCCTGCATGCTTGGATCTAAAATGTGTCGTAATTCAGCATCGACAATGTCAACCCATTCGGAATCATCGTTTTTTGTATCGTCACGCAACGGTGAATCAGAACTTTCGGTATCCAGCTGTGTAGGTTTGCGTCCACTGGAATAGGCGGCACTACCTCGGCCCGAATCAACATTTGAACTTTGATTGCCGCTTTTGTCATAGTCCGAACTATTCGCTGACCCAGACACATTCTTATTTGGATCATGTGTTTGACGTGGTTCCATTCGTTGCATCGGCTGTAGCTTTGGTTGATGGGACGGTTGCTGCTGCTGCTGCTGCTGCTGCTGTTGTTGTTGCTGTTGTGACTGTTGCGATGTATTCTCATGCTGTACCACCACCTCGGATTCTTGTAAACGTTTTTGGAACGATGCACGTTGTACATCTTGACGCGTTTGCAATATCGAGGACGTTGACATTTCCGTTTGGCTCGAGAATCGGCCAACAAATGCATTCGTGCCATTTTGATTTGATTGCTGCAAATATTGATTATTGCAATTAGTGATTGGGGGAATTTTAACCATTTTCCGAGAAATAGATAGATATTATGTTGAATATTTAATAATGGAATTTACTCTCTCGCTCTCTAGCTCACCTGATGCTGATGCGTGTGTGAATGTTGATATTGATTTGGTTGATTATTCAAATATTGATGTTGGAACAGCGATGAAAATGACTGGTAATGTTGTGTTGGCTGCAACAAATTGAATGCAAATTTTTAATTTGTGTTTTCGAAATGGAATTGAAATATATATTATGCAGAGTTCAAATAGACCACGTCTCCCACCTCTCCCTACCTCTCTCCACCTTTCGCATCGAAATATAATATTTAAAGTATGGAAGGTATGAGAGTTCTAAGCTCGTCGAAAGAGTAAAAAAACACAGAGAGAGAGTTAGAGAGAGAGAGAGAGAATGCAGCTCTTGCTTACCGGGTGTGGCGGAGGTTGAGTTGGTGGTGTTGAGAGATGATACATTGTTTGTGGTCGTCGTTGAACGATTCGTGTAGATTGTTCCAACTTTTTGAAGCCACCGTCGTCGCTATCGGTGACGATATCGGTTGAATTGCGTCGTTCAAATGTTGGCATATTAAGCTGTGGCTGTGATACGGCCCGTTCTTGTTGTTGGCTCTTTCGTAGTGCATCGCCATTTGTTGCATGTGCAATACCGCCACCAATACCACCCCCATTGCTGCCGTTCAAACCATTCGATTTCTGTGCGATATTTGGTTGGGATTGATTCAAATTTTGCATTTGACGTATATGCGATGGAAGTGGTGTGTGGGGCATGCGAAAGTCATCGTTTGGTGATTTGCCCACAGTTTGCTGCTGCTGCTGCTGTTGATGTTGTTGTTGTTGCTGCTGCTGGTGCACAACCACATTGTTTAATTCATCGGCCACATCGTTATTGTCCTTTTTGAATTTCGACGAAATTAAATCTTTCAATGTGTGATAGGTTTTGGTGACGGCATTTTTATTCCCGTCTCGATCTCGGCCGACATTGTCACGATCGGCCAATGCGGTCACATCTTCCGGCAAACGGGCCGGTGTCCGTGAAATTGCGCCCGTCAACGATGATTGCGTCTGTTGGTGGATCGACTGATGATTCGCTTGCTGCAATAACTCTTGCGAATTCGAGTGTTGCGAATTTTGCTGTACAAAGATGAGAGCAGAAGAAAAAAAGGCAAAACAAAACAAAAACTATCATTAGAAACAGAGTGCAATTAAATGTGCATCAATTTTTTTTTTTGCATCCGAGTTTTTTTCTCCTGGTTCAAAAAAAAAGAAAAAGAATTGGGCACATTTTGCTCCAGCTTGGATTTTTATTTCATTCCAGCTTGGATTTAGCCAGAGAGTGCCAAGAGAGAGAGAAAAAAAATACGACGGGTAAAACATTCCATTGTGCTTGAAAAAGTTTGTTCTATGCGAATTGATATGCGTGCTTCGAAACGAAAACCGAACGAATGAAATGGCAAAAGGCAAAAAAGGTATTCGTTTTTCCTTCTCTGTCTCTTTCTCTCTATCTAAATTTTGTATAAACAATAGTAATTCTTGAGGAGTGCGCGCGCGGCATTTTGGTCGTGTTTTTTTTTCTCTCTTCGTTTCGTTTCGTCTTCCTTTGTTATGCTTTGCGCACACGTTTGCTCTGGGCAGAGAGCAGCAGTGGCAACGACAGCGGCAGCAACAATGGCGACGACAACCACGGTAGACATGCAAAAATCGAGCAAGGTAACAATTTCTTGTAGCAACAAGTGCATACACTTCTTTTTTTTCGGCTCAGCCTTATTGCATGTCTATTAACGACTAGGTTCGTTGTGCTCCAGCCAAAGCGACAAGCGAAACGAAACGAAAAAACCACGTATAAATGCATGCAACGAGCAGATTGAGTTAATTGCATGCAGTGAATAAATAAAGAAGAGTTGAAACCAAGATATAGAGAGAGAAAAAGAGAGAGACCAATTTTTGTTTTTCTTCTGTTCGTTCGTTCGTTTCGTTGTTTCGTATTTTGACGGAGGGGCCTTACGTTTTCCAGTGCAAATTCCACCATGCTTCAGCGAAAAACAAATCACCTCTGGCTTCGACATACACTTGATAAGATGTTTGAACAACAACGAAACATACACATACACACAAACACTATCTATTATTTGAATGAATCGCAGTTCATCATATTCACAGTTTGGGTCTTTGTAGCTGCGCTAAGTCTTAAGATTTTGGTCACATTGCCGAGAGAAAATACACAAAACATACACAATTGTTTATGATGTTTCTCATTGAGTGAGAGAGAGAGAGAGAGAATGGGTTAGTTTTTTTTGGGTGGCTCAGTGCAGCAATTGGCAAATGCTTCACACGATGGATGCCTATGTTGACACTGTACTTACGATAACGACGACGGCGACAGCGATGGAAACAAAAGAAAAAGAAAATTTAATTACACACTTGTTTTGCATCGCAAAATACCTCTTTCTTCCTCTCTCACTCTCTCGCTCTCGCGATCGCTCTCACTCCGTCTCTAGTTTATTTTGTTTGTTCTCTTTGATTTTTCCCTTTGATCTTTTATTGTGCGCGCGTACACTCATTCACTCACACAATTATATTATTTATTGTCTAATGAAGGGAGTGCGGGCGCGCGAATGCTGTGTGCGAGTACAGTAAACGAAACCGTCAAGTGAAATCTGCAACAAATGTTCACACACACACACACACACACACACACACAATCAACCGCTTCGATTGTTCTCTTTTCGTTGTGTTCTCGCGCAATTTTCACCGAAAATCGTTTATTTGTTCGCGTGAGTGTGGCTTTCTTCCTTCAATCACTCTTCAAACACACTGAATACATAATCCAATTAAACGAGCAGCACTTTATCTGGGCCTGTACCGGAGAGCACAAATGTGTTTACATTTGGACCAACTTCCCAGAACAACACACAGCACAACATTCATATCAAATTTTTGAAGAACCTGCGGTTATCGCGACCGCTGTGGAAATGAACAAATGTAAACGCGAACGAAAAATAGGGAAAATTCAAGCCAATTAATTTTCTTGCGAATTATCAAACAAAAGACGCACCAAACCGAGAGTTGAATGACATCTAACGTTATTTCGCACTCCAGCACGGCCAGCTCGCTCAACTCATGCCTTGATTTATCATTTACTTTTTTTTTCTCGTTTCTATTCTTTTGATGAGAGTGCTTCTTGGCTTGAAAAGCCGTTTTTTTTCTTCTCTTCTTCTTCGTTGTTGTTATGGTCTTGTTTTCGTTATTTCAACTTTAGATAATTCGGTTTTTTTTTCGGAACGCATTTGTTCGAACTGAAATTTAACAACAACGTGGTTTTTTTCTTCCTACTTCGTCTTTATAACACGCGCATTCAACTGACGCTCATAAATTTGGCAATCGATACGGAAAAAAAAACAAGATCACAAACACAAATGGCCACACGTTTCGAACTGGATTATTATTAATAAATAATATGAACTGGATTAAGATCGCGGGCAAGCGCGCGCGCAAGTTAAACCGCACGAAATAATAACCGAAATTCAAGCGAAAAAAGCGAACGAAGCGAGCGAGTGTGTGAGCAAGCGAGCAAGTAAGAGAGAACGAGAGAGAAAACTCTGAAAACACTGAAAACCGCATGAAAATTGGGTTTTTGGTTCAATTCTTGAAATGAACTTTTGATCGTAGTGTCGAAAAATTAATTTTCGATCGCAAAATATGGGGCGGTTTTTGTTATTTTTGCTGTTTCTGAAGACAAAGAAAAGGTCGACGCAAATGAATCACGCACTTAAAATTAACCACAACACTGTGAAGATTAGAAATTCTTTGAAGTAGAAAACAATTTCGTTGAAGATTAATAAATTGAGATTTGAAAACGAAAAACGAAGAAAAAAAAAACACAAACAATTCTATCTAAGAAACACAATCCGAATGAATGAAAATTTATCAGTGTGAGAAGTTTGAGTGTTTCAACTGAAATGCTAGAGAGTTGAATGCGTTAAGAATCGGACACATCGAACAAGAACTAAGCAGACAGTCCGAGACACACGGAGTCAGGTGGAAAATAGCAACGAAAACATCGTAAAAAAAAAATAAAAAAAAATAAATAGCAGCAGCAACAACGATGATGAAGAGAGTATAAAAAAAAAACCCGACTTCTTGGCAATTAGATTACGTATATTTTTTTTTAATAAATTGTTGCCTGTGTCTCTCCCCCTCCACTCGTATCAACATACACACACACACACACTCGCCGATGAATGAGTTTGCTTTGCATTATTTTTTCGCTGTGTATTTCGTTGCTGCGATGATTTAACGCAAAAGAAAGCGAGAAGATGTGCGAAAACGTTCGTTTTCACCGAAGTGAGGAAGCAAAACGTCCAATGTGCATAACATTAATGCACATTTAACATGATCTCATTTCTTTCATTTTTTTTCGCCCAAGCAAATGCGGATAGACGAAAGATAAACAACGAACAGCAGCAGCAGCAGCAGAGGTAAAGGAAAATATGATCGAAAACAAGGCAAAATCTGAAATATTACAGACGGACACACAGCACACGCATATTATGAAAGATGCACATGCACTTTGGCTGCAGACGAAATGGACGATGGCGACGGTATAGCCGAAACACAACAAATGAGCCAGCGAGCGAGCGAGTGAACGAGTTGGATTGGAACAAAGACAACACCGGTACCACACTTCACCGCACTGCACTTTTGCATGCATAAATTTATTGGCTCGGAACGGAAATTGTAACGGTCGAATTCAGCAATGGCACTGAGGCCACAGCAAAGACACACACATACATACACACACACACGGTCAGCGCAGAGTAAGAGATATTTATGTGCATCACATTCATTAAAATCATTCATGCACATTTGCAGCCACAATCAATCAATTATGAGTTTCTAGTCAAACTTCCTAGCACGCCCAGCACATCAACCACGTCCAAAACAACTCATCGAACCCATTCACTTGAATGTTTGACCGATGCATCCACGTATTCGGAGCAATACTATTATACCCTCGTTGAACTACAAAAAACCGTCGATGATCACCTATGGATCGGTTACTAGGCTGAATTGTTGCAATTGAGTAACGATTCAGAAGTGTTGAACAGCGATTTTTCACTCTTTTCTCCTTTGAACGTAGACTTGTTTCGAGTTTTTCTCTTCTTTTTGAATTTTCTTCTCTTTTTTCCTCCTTTTTGAATATAGTTCGGTCGTTTTTTGAGCTTATCGGTATTGTTTCGCGTTTTTTTCTGTATTTTCCTCCCTTTTATTCTGTAATTTATTCAATTTTTTTTATTTTTTTCAATTTTTTTCACATTTTTCCCCTATTTTTCGTTTTTTCTCTTCAAAGAGTTCGACTTTTTTGTTTCAGAATTCGACTGTTTTATTCAAAGTTCAACTGTTTCCTCTTCAAAAATGCCAAAACTCAAACCAAAAAACCCACAATCAAATCAACGGAACGAGCAAAAAACAGCCCAAATGATCGTTTGTAAGAGCACGTCAACGGGCAATACACTTCGATCAAATGATCAAATGCAACTAAAATCACGACGCCACCGTCGTCGCTGTAGCGACAACAATGACGTGCGTGCATATTTGTCTAAACTCCAAAAGAAAGACAGGGAGAGCGAGAGAGAGAGAGAGAGATGATGAATTTCACCTGATGCATTGAAAGAAATGTGATATTATGTGTGAATTCAAAGCTCGCTACATTAATTATTCTTGGCTTCAATGTGCGAATTTCATGTGCAGTAGAATTAGATGTTATGTGAATTTGTGCGATTTTAGTGTAGTTGTTGTTTGCGCCATCAGCAGCCGTGTGTGGCTCCCTCCTTTCCGACGTGGGCCACGTATTGCAACGGCAGAAGAAAAAAATACACATTCATTTGTTATTCTTTGTTTCATTATTTCTATAATTAAATCACTTCAAGTCCAAAGTGTATGCAATGCGAACGAGAAAAAAAAGAGCAACGAGCAACGAAGAAATGTCGAAAAACAGTGAGCTCATGTGAAAATGAATCTTTTTTTTCTGTCTTCTTACGACTGCTGCCAGGGAAAAAAGCATTTTAACACAAGAAAAAAAAAACACAAAGATGAACAAGAATGTTTGAAGTGAACAAGTGTGAATGCAATGACGAAAACAAAACAAAAACACGATCGAGAGAAAAAACCGCGACAAATATCTATTTCTCTCTTTCTCGCTGGTTTTACGTTCGCACCCGAGCTGAATTTTTAATTCGCTCTACTGTCTTATTTTGATTTTTATTTTAAAGCTCGATGCTGTTTAACACACGGCGTTGTTTTTATATTATTTCGGGTGCTACGTGAGAGCTACTCATGAGTTTTCTTCATTATTTGATTTGGTTTTTGTTTTTGTTTTTGTTTTTTTTTTCTGCTTTCATCGACCACAATCAAGCATTTTGATTGTTTTGCGCGCGAATAAACAAAAACCATTCCGTTAATACGAATAGATTTGAATTTGTTGTGTGATCTTCTTAAGAAGCACACACGTTTTTGTTTGTTTTGTCGTCGTCAGAAGCACACTTCTTGAACACACTTCGATTTTTTGTTGTGTTTCTTGAATATAACACGGCTTTTTTTCGCTCGACTTTCGAGATCAACCGTGTTCATTGAAGACTTGGTTGTCCTTTTTTTGGTTTTATGCTTGCAATTGCAAGCTGAGAGAAAAAAAAAACAACCAAAACCGTTAGCAACTTACCCATGCATGCGCTTGCTTTGGTGGATGATCGGGTGCAATGGAAGCGGGTTGACGTGATAGCAGCGGTATGCCAACGGTACGACGTACACCAGATGGTGTTCGCGATTCATGCATTAATGGAATTTTCGATGATGCCTTGTCACTCGACAGTATCAGCTCGCGTTCAATCTGTACACACCGGAAATTGAAACATATTGATCAATTGCAATTTTCGCATACATGCAAAACGATTCCGGAATTATCCAAGAATTCACTTTCACATAAACACGATGATGGTTGGGGCTTCGTATCGTGTTTTATATATTACCGGAAATTTTGATGAATGTGTTCGCAGGGAAACCGACGAAACATTCGGCTGTGTATCATTGATGAGTGTCATGCCGGGTATTTGTGCATCGCTGTACGCATTGCTGCTGCTCTCATTTAACGGTACTGGCGGCATTTTGTACGGTGGACACGTTTCAGTCTTCAGCGTTGACGATTTTAACGATAATTTGGCTAATGCAACCGTTAAATAGGACGATTGACTCTGCACTGGGCTATCACCAACACCAACAGGTGATGCGGTTGACGTTTCGCCACCAGCTGAAATGAAACACATAAAATTAATGAACATTTTTAAAGACGTTTCACTTTGAATTTGTTTTTTATTAATTCGAAGTTTTCTTTGGTCTTCACTTCAAGTTTCTTCGCAATTCATTTCAATTGTTCTCGATTTTTCATTCATTTTCGTCCATTGATCCGGACATTTTCTATTTTTGCATTCCATTTTTCTCAATTGATTCGAAATTTCACCATTTTTCGTCAAACTTTTTACAATTGACTCTAATTGATCCCATTAAAACAAGTAGAAACACAACATAGAGACCTCTCTCTCCCCATGAAAAAGCGAGAGAAAGAGAGAGAAATAGAGAAAAAGACTGATTCACAAAAGAAAATTCAGTCTTTGCATTCGTTCTTGGTAAATTTTTATTGACATTTAAACATTTTAATTTGACAATGCCGATCGAATTTCACGATTCTAATTTGGAATTTCAAAGCGTCTCCTCTTTTCTCTGTCTCAATCGCTTGATTAATCTGTTTATGGAATCTTGTTGTGTCACAATCAGCAAAAGCGATCTAAACATGATCACTCAAGAACGATTCGAAATTTATTCTGAATTTTTTAACGCTTTGAATTCGAATCGAATTTGTTTCGTTTTGCTTCTTTCGGTCAAAAAATTGTTTGATAATTTTGTGTCTTCAAATGTTATCGTTGTGTATCCATTTTCAGGCAAAATTAATCGTTGATATAAATGTGTTTTAATTCATCGATACGGATACCTTGTTGTCGTTGGTGGCGTTGTTGTTGTTTGATCTGTCTAACTGTGCGCACTTTCATGGCGCTCAAATGTTTGAATGCGACGGCTCGCACTCGCCTAGTCACCTAAACGATGTTTTAAATGAGTTTCGGTCCAAATACCAAATTCAATCAAATGTCTTAATCATGGTTAATAATTTGTCACTAATTTTTCGGTTAATTTTCAAGTCTATTCAAAGTGTCCATCGAAGCAAATGAGGCGACCACCTTCACGTTCATTTAGTCTCTTTTTTCGGCGTTTAAATTTTTAACCTTTATTAAATCGCCAAACTATCTGTAAACAATTATTAATTAGCAATCGATTTGTCATCGATACGATTTTAATTTGGTATCATAAAAAAAACATTTGGGCGCATTCATTGTGCGAGTTAGAGAGAGTTGGTTCAATGGTTCATTCATGATAAAGATATTTTTGGAAATGCCTCGTTTTGGACGTGAAACTACATTTTGCCAAAAACAAATTGGAGAAAAAAATGTTTGTCGTCATGTGGTCAATCAAATTGGCTCGAAAACACTTTGAAATCCAACACAATTAGTGCCAATTTGATGGGTGCTATTGTTTTTTGCCACGGCGGCTCAATTCGTCAAGTTTTATCGCTTTATTTTTGGAATTTATCAACTTTTTCGCCGAATTTTTCTCGGTTTTCGTTCAAATTCTTTGATTTTGTTTTTTTTATTTTGGTTTTGTTTCTGTTTTTTTTTCAACGCTTTAATTTTTGTCTTTGTTCTTCATTTTTTATTGGCTGCTTTGTTTGTTTTTCTCATTTTTCAACGTTATTCGTTTGAATTCTTCAACTTTTTAATTGGAAGTTGCTAAACTTTTCCTCACATTATCAACTTTTGTTTGTTTGAACTTGTCATTGAAGGGGAAATCAAAGACGGAAAACACTTTTTTGTGTTTGCTTTGTCCGACCCACCGTGCGCTGGAAATTACAGGGCCAGGCGATTAACCTATTTAACATGTCAATTAAAACTTGATTAGGCCTATACAATTAAATGGTTTTTACCGTTGGCGTCGATTATTGCACATGACAATAAATTAACAACCTCGGATCAATTGGCAATTTACCAATGGCAAATGTGTGATTTCAGACTTGAGATGCACAATCACGTTGCGTTGAAATAACACTTGCCGGCTTTGACGAGAAAAAAATTCACGCTTGACTGTGTTTGTCACCGAAGAAGAAGAAGAAGAAGAAAGTGCTTAGCAAAATTCGAAACCATACTGACGAACTTATTTTTCACACTGACGACATTATGGACAGTGAAAAAGTGAATATGCTCAAGAAGGAGAGGAACAGAGGTAGAGCGAGAGAGAGAGAGAAAAAGAGAGAAAAAAGGGAGATAGAGACAGCAAGAAATACGAAAAAAAGGCAAACACTCTTCGAATTGGCTGCAAAATTTATCGCATAATTAGCTGAGTCTTTGGTTTCAATTAGCGTACACGAGCAACGTGATTGCAGCGGTGTCTGACTTTGCGTCCGCGACGCTTGAACATTGGATTGCTAATAAAATGTTAATGAGTTGATGTCAGCAGAAAACGACATATTCAAGCGATAATTTTTCGGGCACAAAAGTGCAAATGATCGTGAGAATGAAGAAAAAAAACAAAGGCAAAAAAGAAACGGTCTCCGGTTGCCGTTGAATAGTGGCATACTTAATTCGTCATGTTCTTTTTTGGCCAGTGAAAATTGAATGCGAAGTTCGCATTGTGAACGAAATGCGAAAGATTCCACGGAAACACCCAAGTTAAACGGAAAACAAATTGTAAATTATGTTTTTAGCCCGAAAAAAAGCAAGCAAAATCTCTCAGCACAATTGTGCGTAGGGCTAATTAAATGTATTTGCAGCAATGCAATGATATCAGCATTGAATGCGTTGTTTCCAAATGGATTATCAGTAGAAAAAAAAGCAGCGCATGTTGCATCACATAGTTAACGTTTTTGAAATTTTTGCATCATTCATTGAGGCGCACACGCTCGCGAGCATTGCAATGGCGAAAACAATAGCACCATTTTTATGAACGCACATTGATTTTTTTTCGAATCGTTTGTTACAAAATAGAAAGTTTGTGTTGATTTTTTTTTTGCGTCGATGATCTTTCATCGTTGTCAGATCTGTTAAGTCCAAGACCTCATTTGAACTGAACCTCATTCACATCCACTCTCACACACAATCACTTAGAGGTTAACACCATTTACTAACAGAAAAAAAAGAACTGAATGGAAATGATTAATGTTTCCATTTAATCGAGTACACGAATTTTTAGCGCACAAACACAGGTTCTATTCACTGAGCTTCACAATCACGTCTGACACACGATTATTTTCAAATATCCCGCTGATTTTTTTTCTACTTCTATTTTGAAGAGAGGAACAAAAACGGGTCGACGAAATTTTTTTTCTTCAGTTTTTGGCCGATAGATTGGGTCGGTCAGTCGATTAGCGATCAAGATCGAACCATTTTCGGCCGGTTGTGTACACACACTCAAAATACGCAAGCACAACGTTTCGGCTGCAACCGCTGGCAATGTGTCTTTTGCGCACCCGCCTACACACGACTACACCACACACAGCATAAAAATATATGCTACCGATTCAATGGGCTTTGGGCGGCTAAGCATGACTTTGTTGTTTTGCTGCTTCTCTCTCTCTCTTTACATAACAAATATTACGACAAATAATCATATGAAATAAGGCTTTTGCGCTGACATTTCAACGGATTTGCGTGTACGCGCTTCGTTCATTTCACTTGCTACGCCGCTATCTCAGCAAAATTATGCGTTGTCTCGATGTATGCAGTGTTGTGCGCACAACCACAGTCTCAAACCTGTCGCTGCTAACTTTAGAATAACGTCGAAGTAGAAGAAAACCAAAAACAACGCAACACACACACACAACGAGCCCATTGTAACAAGTGCCGGAAAAAAGTGCAAGTTACACGTAAAAAAAAACAACAACAACAACAGAAACGATATATACGGGGAATTACAAAAGTAATCGCCGATTAAAATGCAGCAGCTCACCGTGAATTCGGTGCATGGTTTGGAAAAAATTGTGCTGCAGAGTCGAGTATATTTAGATATTCATAAATGCAAGTCAAATCAAGACACCGTGACGAATATTCTCTGTTTTGACTATCCCGGCCCCGAAATGCAAGCCAATTTCCCTTTCTCTTTGGCCAATAGCCAGTGGTACCCAAAAAAACACACTCTTCCCCTTGATCAACACCGACCACGATGTACCATCGCATCGAAATGCCGTGCACTTGTTGCATGACACCACGGACTGAGAGACAGAACAAAAGACACATTTATTGCTTTTTATTATTGCTGTTTGTAAACACGAGCATACTCTGCAATGGTAGAGCCCGAAAAAAAAGTTCAGAAGTGAAAAAGCAACGAAAAAATACCAACGTCGTTGCAGCGCCGTTCATCGAGTAAAAGTGCGAATAAAACCGAAAAAGTGTAAAGACACCCAAAATGAGCCAAAAACCAACAGCGAGTAAACGAGTCAACAACAATAAGCAACAAATTGACATTTAATATAAAACGATTATTTCCAAAACCCGAAAAAAACGCATTAAAAACCCCGACTGGAAATGGGAAAAATGAGCATTTCTTTCTCACTCGTTGGCTGCGAGTCGTGTCACACCCGATGTTTACAGTTAGTAAGGCAGCAATTAAAAAAATTCGTGTATACAAGAGAGAGAGAGAGAGAGAGAGAGAGAGAGAGAGAGAGAGAGAGAGAGACGTGTGGTGTACATGAGAGCCGAGAGTCGAGATTCAGTCAACGATAACACTTCCAGCGGAAGTTATAGCATCACCGAAAATTCACCAGGGAATCGCTTTTGTTTATGGGCGAGACTCGTCACTTCATTTTCCATTCCATTCGATTGTTTGTGTGAAGAATGTAGAATAATTACGAATAAAAAAAACTTCTACATAATTTCGAAGCCGAAATTTTCCGTCCACATCGTTTAAAACCAAATCTTGCCGAAAATACAACAGCACCGGTGGCTGCAAAACACAATAGAAATGGCGGCAGAAATTTTATTTTTTTTTTTACATAATAATTACATAAAAAATTACTTGTGTTTAACAATGAAAAATGATCTGCGATAGCGGAAAACGGTTGTTATAGCATCGAAAGAAGCGAGCGCGAGAGAAAAATATGCGCGCGTCACATTTTTAATTATTCGGAAATTCTTGGAGATTAGATGAAACCATGGTGACATGAGCCAGCAAGTGTGCGCGCGTGAGCACATTCGCGCGCATTCGGTCAACGCAACAACAATTAAAAATTTTCGAATACATAACAGCGTTCAAGTGATTCTCGCTCGCTCTCTCTCTCTCTCTCTCTCTCTCTCTCTCTCTCTCTCTCTCTCTC